GCATCACAACATGTCATGCAAGCATTCAATTTCTTAACCATCTTGACAACATAACCAGCTATGTATGAAATTGCAGCCTCTTTGTATTCTGACAACAATGCCATATTTGGTGTGTCACTGTAGTCATGGTCTTCTTGCAATGTAGGTCTTTCAGTAAGATCATATTTCTTTATAAGTGCCACATTTGTTAGTGAAAGCTGTTGTCCTGATACTGTGCATGTGTCACCAACTACATACAGTATGCTTGTTTTGTCCTGCTCATCACAGTTCCCACGACCTCCTTGTATGGCACTTCTCATTAGCAGCCTTTTATATGCTGCAGTGAATTGCTCTGTAGTTGGATTGTTGTTACAACCTCCAGCAGAACGAATAGCTCCAAAAAATAACTCTAAATGATCTTGGCTGAACTTGTACATCAGAAGGTATTTTAATGGTGCAGCTGCATCTTCAACCAGTGTCTTGAATAACATTTGTGTGCTCCTGATTGCAACTAGAAATCCTATAAAGCCAGTTTTCCTTTGTGTCTCATACATATGCTTACCTGTTGTATTTTTTAGACCACAAATGTAATCAAAGGCTTCTTCAAGAAATTGGTTCCAATAATCCTTGTTGTTGAATCTAAGAGCTGATTTGAAACCCTTGGCAAGAGGACTCCTGGAGTTGAGCACATCAAAAAGCCTATCAAAAACTCGAATAAACTTGACAGTGGCTGAGGAACCCTGAAATTGTTGCAGCTTGAGAACATTGGCACAATATTCAATAGCATCAGCAACACTAGAGCTAAACGTCTGTGCCGCAAGATTTACTTTCATTTTTTGTTGTCTCCAATGGATATGTGATGCCTTGAGTTTGTTACCAAGTCTTAAACCCTCTGACTCCTGTAGCTTGTGAAGAGCCTCTACATATTGCCATGAGATTTTGTTGTTGTTGTGATCAACAAGAATGCCACCCTCAGCAAGGGTGTTACGAACAAGCTTAAGCATATGGCAAACATCTAAGAATATGGTGACCTCATGTTGAGAATCTATGGGGTGGGGGAAACTTGGTCGCAAAGATGCAGGAACAAAACTGGCACCAAGCTCTGCTGCCATTTTGAAATGACAGGATGGACCATCAAATGTTACAGAGACAACACGAGCACCAGTATCCCACAACCTCTGGAGACATACATTAACAAGATTAGCACGTTCACTGCCACTTAGCCCATCAACAAAAAAATAGCCACAAGGAACTTTCCAGTGCCCATTGACACAAACAGCCATCAAAACCAATGCATCTTTCGCCAAAGGAGCAGTGTCATCTAGCTCAGCACCATTACCCAAGTCAACATATCCTGAGTAATTGGTACCATTCCATGTAACCTGTTTCCTAATTGACATCTCATCCAGCATTAAAGCAATTACTACCCTATTGCCCTTAACTGCTGCTGTTTCAACCTTTGCTTTTATAGCATCAAACGCAGGCTTAGTAAATCCTGGCTGTGCTGGAATTTTGCCATACCATCTTCGAATTTGAGCTTGGTGTGGGAGGGCAAGGTTAAATGCTTTCCTTACAAACTCGTAAGCCTTGGCAGAATAAAATTGCAAAGTCAAAGCAAATGATTGCAATTGGGCTGGATACTTGCACCCTCTCCTGTTTTTGCCAGAAAGAATCCTCTTCATCAATGCAAGCTGGACACCAGAAAGAGACTGTTTCAGTTGCTCTTCACAGTTTTCAGAGATGAAATTCCTCTTCCTGAGCTCCTTGACAACAGCCTTCAAAGACTTTGTTTTTGCTGCCAGACGTCTAGACTTTTGTTTGGCTACTTTCAACCTTTTGCGAAGCTTTTCAATTTCTTTTTGCTTTTTATGAAGTTCATGGTTCAGCTTCCTTGGTGACTTGACACAATAATTGCCATGATCATTTTTAAAAAATTGCTGTATTGTTGGCAAACAAATGTCATTCCCATTTTGTGGCTCTTGCAGTTGACTGCATTCTGGCTCAGGTGTTTGAAGAGAACGATTTGGTGGTTTTCTTGCCTTTGTAACCTATAGGATAGAGAGTATTGCTAAATGTTAATTATTTGTATCTAGCAAATATCATTATGGTATATTTAGTTTCATGGTAAAACCTGGTATTGATAATCTTCATTGATCTTAAAAATAAACTTGGATTCGCAAAATTTATTCATTACTGCCACTGTTTGATAATATATTAGCACACAAATATTTGCATTTAGCTGAAATTTTCACTGTTTGATGATATATTAGATCAAAATTTTTGAAGAACCAAGATGAGTCTTACATCTTATTGTAGAAAACTAAATTAAATGAAATACAATTGCCTTCTTAAGATGTTTTGGAAACTTTTTGAATCGTGTTGGCACAGCATTTGGTTTCAACTTTGTGTTCTGCTCATTCCTGTCCATGTATTCTTCACTGAAATGATCAGAGCAGATTCTTGAATATTTGGAGGGCTTCCAGTCGTCTCGATGCATGCTAACAAGCCACTGCCTTTTCCTTTCATCATCAATTGGAAATCTGTTTTAAAAATATAAAATAGAATATTTTCAAGAAAAGTGGGGAAAAGTGTTTTTAAAAGTGCAGAAGGCCCTGCCCCTCCACTTGATGTGAGATATTTTGTCCAAACCTGATAACCAACTGTTCTTCATTCATGTTTTTAAGACTTAGTTAAAAAAAGTTTTTTAAACAACCAACGCAAAGGCCATGATACAACTTTTTGTTTGGGGAAGAGCCAGCCCTGATAAATAAGTGTCATAACAGCCATGTTACAAAATAAAAGTAATTTACTTATGCTACTTAAGTTTTTTTTAGGGGGGGGGCAAGGCCTTTACCAGATAGTGCCAAGTCACTATGCAGAACCGCCAATATAAGGATTAATTTATAGAGAAGCAGTAAAATACAAACTTACGAATGAAATGTTCGCGGAAATTGCCTCTTAAGTGTACTTTCTTCGTCATTACTCCCTTCGCTGTCACTTCGATTGACTAAATCTCCGTCGGCTTTTCTTTTTCTCCGTTTGTTACAGCCAAAAGCGCAGCACTGTGTACCTCTACTCGCCATTGCAACGTACTTACTACAATTGATTTTCCCGCGTTTTGGGTCACACTGTCATGGCGCCGATCTGAATTAATTGGCTTCAACAAAGACTTGGCGAGAACAATAGGTTGCTCTATCCAGTCTTTTTTTTAGATCAGTGCTCAAATGTTTCTGCGATAGATGATATGGGATGTAAGCCGATCGACTTGACTTTAGAGCCACAAGTTACGAACTTGTTGCGCGAAAGTATCGATAAAGCAGATAAAAAGGCAGCAAAAGACACCGAAGTTTTCAAAGAAAGTCTCAAAAGACATTCAACTTATAATTTAAGAACTTTGAAAGGTCGAAGTAATACGTGTCCAACGAAAATTGCCAGCTCTTTAAGTCCGCGAGTTGTTACGAGGGTCAGGAGCGAAACATACATGTCGAAACGAGCTACGTTTGAGAAAGGAAAGGACGATACACATTCCCTACCTGGTGATTTATTTGCGAAGAAAGACAAAAATAACAACGAAACAACGAAAACAAAAATCGAAGATTCGCGGAGAGATTCGGGGATTTACGACGACTTCCTCGAAATGCGACAAATATCGGCAATAGCTCACGCTTCCAAAAAAGTTGAGCGACCGCCCGTAAACTTACAGTCGCGAAGTACTACGGTATGAGCCGTTATGCGTGAAAAATAATGTGTGTAGTTTTATTGTTAATGATAAACGGAAATTTATTTAACAGTTGACAGATGTCTATAATTGTAATATTTAAAATTGGTGTTTTTGCCTTCATTATAAAGGCTTGAGATATAAACGTAATGGAAACTTATTTACTGCCTTATTTTTGAAAAAGTTCTTCTTACACATAGTTTGAGAGCAAACTATTTGCTTTTCTAATAATTTTGTCATTGAAGATGTTATTTCCAAGAACCAACAAACAAGATTGCTAGCAGGAAGTATGATGGGGTAAGAGTTGAGGAGAATTTCATTTGTAATTAAAATTTTGAAAATTAATAAAAACATACATTGATTTCGTTACTAGACGAAGACGAAGTTCCTTGAAGATTTAAAATCCCCGAATCATTATAAGTAATGACGCAACAGACATTACATTGGTGAACCGTGTCTTGTTCCCGCAAGTCCAACCCGAAGGAAGAGGAACCAGTTTATAACTGACTTGGGAAAGTTTGAGAAAAAATCCAACCGAATGAAGTAATGCTAGTAGGCGAAGCAGGCTAGCAGGGGTTGATACCCTGGGTTCCAGAGCGTAAAGTGTAACAATTGGGGCGTCGAGGCGCAACGCCCTGTTTCCTCGACGCCCCACTTTCTACACTTGACGCTCTGGAACCCAGGGTAGCTAATTTGAATGCCATTTGATGTGGAATACCGCCATTGATCTGCATAAGGAGTTCTAGAGTGAAACATCTTACACCCATGCAGGCACGTAAATACTGGGGGTTGTGGGGGTTTGAAACCCCCAATCTTTTATCCAGTCGGAAAATTGAAGTTTTGATTCAAATGACCTTGTAAAAGTAAACTGTAGCTCAAAGAGAAGCATAAGAAAGGTTTAAGTTCAAAAGAAAAAAGTTGTTTGGTAAAAGGCAGTTCTAAAAAGAATGAGAGGCAACGCAATACAGAAAAAACGAAGTTAGGTATTAAAATGCAAGTATTTTCAACTACATTCGTGGTAATGGGGATAGTGTGATAATCATTTCATCGAATTGCTTCTAAAAACAGGATATGAAATAGTCGAAAACTTCTCCATTCGAGATCGACCGATAAAAGACTAAACGACCTCATGATTCTTACTTGCGAGAAGGACATTTTGGACAACGTAAATCTAGATAAGATAGTGGAGCAATGGGCAAGTCGTAGAAGGAGAAAAATTAACATCTGATTTTTGGACTACGTATGTTTTGATGCACTAATTAAACTAACAGTCGTTATGCTCGATCTTCCAAATTTACGATATCTAGAAACTTTATCATACAGCTGAATAATCATCTACGAGACAATTAATAAGGTTTTGTTTGTAAAAAACTATTAGGCCCTCATACAAAATTAGAATTGACCTTTGTCAGTGGGAAATTTCGAGCCCTTCACCCCCAAAAATGTCTTCCCGTGGGTGACTCATGGGACAAGATTAACCGTTGAAGTTGGTTCAAGGTTTTGTCAAAAGATACTTGGACGAAATTATTTGGCTGTACTTGTAGGTATAATTCATTGAGCTCGTCCCTTGTCAAAAGTTGTCTTTTTTGGAAGGTCTGTGTTATTGAGAGGTGTTCGTTATTGGAAAATGTCCTCCTGTTTAATGTTTTCCCAAGTCTGAAGCAATGAGGAACTTAGAATCAGTTTTTCCAGGTCAACTACCTTTGATAAAAATTTGTTTACATTTATTAAGTTATATGTTATCTAGAAATCGTACTCTCGCTACAAAATTCAAGAGACAGTGATTCCAATTACGGTTCAAAATAACTGATAAACGTACAACTTTGAACTGCTTGAAACAGATTAATGATACAAACACTAAAGTTCATTTTTATACTAAATCGCTTTGAAGGTCGTTCTCCTTAGTATATCTAAGAAATTCAATTTTACAATGAAATGAAATCCTTTTATCATACGCCGCAACATCTACGAATTTCAAGGTCATACATTCCATAGTCATTCACAAACAATTTCCCAATTCTCACGAATTATGGTTTTAGAAATAAATTTAACCATCCAACACAAAGAATTATAGGTTTAGAAACTTGGCAAGGCATTCTGAAACTGAAGCTAAAACTGACAATTGTCATCATCACTATTTTCATCATCTAAATTATTATTGTAAGACACTGTTTCTCTTTGTGTGGAATAAGTCGACTATGTTGTTAAGTTTATACACTTTGCTATATACAATTGAATATGACTGTACTATAAGCTAATATAAAAACGAATGTTGTAAGAGTTGAACCAGCAATACGATTTATGTCGCTTCAATACTTGAAATTTCCGTTGCTTGACTTGAACAAATAGAGATTGAAACATTTGAGCGTATGAATCTTGGAGGATTGCGTCTAGTAACAGGAATATGGCATCGCGATAAGCATAGGAACGTCATTCAGTTGCCATTGACGTATTATCGATCTAAAACGTCCGATTACGTATAGAGCCAAACCATGCAGAATGAAAACTCGCTGCAAATCAACGCCAACTCATTGTACATATGCAAAGTGGCGTATACATTATTCGATGCTTTTGTTGTTGTTGTCGGTGTCAGCGGTGTTGCTGTTGGTTGTTGTTCTTGTTGTTGTCGATGCTTCAACTGTTGGCATTGCAAGATTCGTCAAATCAGGAGTCTAATGATCTTGCCATAACACAAAAGTGCACGTGCTCCTGTTCTGGTAAAGTGAGAGTTTTGAATAGAGTTCCACTCAGTCCAGGAGTACTGACGCCATCAGGCAGATTCTGTAACCCAGACTTCCCACTGCTGTCCAGCACTAGAACCAAAGACGTGTCTTGATCTTTGTTCAGTGGGGTGTAGTATACGTAATAGCTTTCAGAAAGAATTTCCAAGAAAACACAACAATTGCCAAAGTCTTCCTAGAAATAGTTAAGGCACATGCATTGAGGAACCGTTTTTGTTACTTCTTTCAGACGAATCCTACCATTTTAAACTTGCGTTACCATTAGAATAAATGTACTTACATACTTTATAAGAATAATTCATACTTCAAAAAGTTCTCTAAAGACAGCTAGTTTTATAGCCAAACAGTTCGAAATTTCGCCAGTTGTTTTGAAAAATCTTTTTGAAATGCATTATTTTCCAGTACAAATAAGTTAAGAACGTTTTAAGTAGCAAAACGGGAGGAAATCCAAGTAGCAAATATAATGAGAGCATGTCTTACTTTTCAGCGTGAAACTTTCCTGGTTTAAAACAGGCTTATGGAAGCAATAAACCTTTGCATCAGAGGAAATGATTTGAAAGCGATCTGCTTGACCGATAAGAGGTGGGGGAAGAGTTTAAATTACACTCCTTAGCCATTTCGAAAATAAACGCTCTTGTTGTACAAAATATCAAGTTCGAATAATGTTAAGAAAACTCGAGAAAACTGATGCTGTGAGCTGGGATATGATTAATACTAGGTTAAGGGTAGTGGTGTCATTAGTGGCATGTTTAGGGTAATGAGTTCATTTGAGGCAGAGACAGCAAGAAGATATTTTCTGATCATATCACTGTTGTATTCTCTGTGGCTCTCGCGGTATTGCAATTACTGCAATGACCTTTAAGAAACTCAATTTCACCGCTACGTGATCATGTATTCTTGACAACTATTTCTTGTCAGTATTCTGAGAAAATCGGCTTCAAAGAACAAATTCAAGTTTACTTGCAATTTTGATTAACATTGTTTTAAAGTTCGTCAGGAATTTGACCACTAAGGGATGAACTTCACATCAAATATCACTTCTCACGGTCAAAAATCTCAAAATGTTTCAAAGCCTTTTGAAAATGAAAGTGCTGCAAAATAGAGTGTTTCCACCACAAACTAGTACTTCCAAAGTCGACGTGTTGATAGATATACAATATAGAAAACCAACGATAACAGGATTAGACTCTCGATAGAAGAATCCCGTATAATTCGTGCCACAGTGTAAGACATAAATAATGCAGCTAGGAATGCTGTTGATGCCGATGATGTTAAAATTATTTGAATAAAGGCTTGAGAGCACCACATCGCTCTGAAACAAGGATCTGAAATAGGACTATGGATCTGTCGGAATACTTAGTAAACCCCTGCCTCATTCTCATAGATAATTCCGTGTTAAGGCCATATTTACAGATCAACAAGCTAGGCAAGTTTCTTACCTCACGCCCCATCTTCAGTCGCAATGACCTTTATCAATTGGGTCAATTTGAGGCTACAAGTACCGTAAATCCTCGAATTGCCTCCCCCCTCGAATAAGCCCCCACTGCTACTGTAAATTTTCGAATTGCCTCCCCTCGATTTGTTGAATTTTGTCATTTGAGGTTGCCTTTGGCGTTTTCTTGAATTACCACAAAAATTCATACTTTTTGTAATAATCAATTAGATGCTCATAAAGAAATTCCTACTTAAATGAACAAGGTCTTTTAAAATGTCTTCTTAATGTCTAAAATAGTTTTGTAAGCCCCCCCCCCTCGTATAAGCCCTCTCGAATAAGTCCCCCTCGAATAAGCATCCATCCAGAAATATCAAAAATAAATAAGCCCCCAGGTGGGCTAATTCGAGGGTTTCAGTATGTGGGTACAAGACATTCTTGTGTCACTTGCATCACTATAATCTTTGCTGGAAAAGCGTAAGGGAAATGAAATTACTTACTTACCCTAGTGGAGATGGTAGACTCCTCCACAGAAAGATAGAGTCCGGTGGAAATATTTCGAATTACAACCATGTTAGGCCCAACTGAATACAGATGAAAAACACCTGAAGAAAAATTCATGTCTGGTAAAAATCTATGAGTACAAGAATTATCTGTAAAAACAACAATGAGTGCACTTCTTTAGCCATAGAGAAAGGATAGAGATTCATTAAAGTTTTTGATATAGATTGAGCATTATATTAACACAACAGTACATTATGAATAGTATTTCATATTTCTAATGCCTCCAATTTTCCTAAACATTTCATTTTAGATTTTCAGTAAAATAATAAATTTATAAAATAGAAGTTAACATGCACAAATTGCAATTTATAATTCGTATTTGATTTTGCCTAAAAAATTGACTGTATTTGAAGAGGATAAATCTATATGTACCAGGTTTCACATTTTCTATGCTTCTTTACTTAATAGATTTTACGAAATTCTTCGGTTAGGCTCAATATTGCTTCTTGTAATCTTAATATCAAATAACAATCAAATAACATGTAATAAATAATATTTAGTCAGTTATATTAAATTCCGGACTGAAAACAGTTTAAACTAAAGCTTATAATAGTTGTTTTGGAATTGAGAAGATCAGTGTTGCTGCACCATACTGCAAAAAACCTTAACAGCATGTAACTAAAAATGATATAAAGAGTACATTGAGTAGACAGTTTATTTATTCGATACTCTCTAGTGCGTAATCAAGGGGTTGGATGTAATTTTCTTAAAGCTTTCACCAAGGTGTTAGGGCTGTGCTGTAAGGCACGTCTAGAAGCCACACCCAAGACCATACCCATGGTAACGTCCTCTTTAGTTTTATTTGAGTTAAAGATTCTCTATCGTGTATACGAACTCGTTCAAACTTTTTACTGACTCTAGAATGCTAATTTGGAAAATAAATTAAGGGTCAATTCACATTGCCAAGTAAGGAATATATTTCTTTCTATTCAGTAAATAGAATTTCTTTTGCTATTCAGTAAAAAGCCAGTGTGTGTTTGATTGAGCAAATGCCAAGTAAGGAATTCGTTCAACAAAAAATTCACTGGCTTGTTAAAGGGGACGTGAGCCCCTAAGCACTCTCTTAATTTTAACGGGGGGGCTGAGCCGAAGGACAAAACACTCTAAGAAAATCTCGTACACCTTTTGTGAAAATCCAATTGTTTTATATGAAAATTCCCAGAAATCTTTTTGTTTTAGGCAAAATCTCGTACGCTATTTGCAAGAGTGAATCGCCCCTCGGGCTGAGCAACCCGGCGCCTCCACTCCACGACACAACAGATCCTTTGATATTCATATCATTTTTCCTGTTTACAATCATGGTTCTATCGAAGTTTATTATAATCTTAACTATAATCGCTTGTTTGATCATGCTGCAACGAGATTTGATGCTTGTAATAACCAGTATATATAGGCAGACTTGAACAAGAAAGCTGCTCTGAAAAAAATTGAGATACAACTGGAAGACTTCGATGCATTACAAGCTTTATACTCAGAAATATAGACATTGTGACATCTAAACATAGAAAGGAATGAGTATGACTCACTACCCTTGAAGGCTTTTTTACCGAGAACATTTTTCTGAAAACAAGATTGGGTTTTTTCAATTGTTTCATTTAGAAGTTTGTTTAAATCTAAAGGTATGTGTGTCGAACATTTTTGGTTTGTCGCTAAAGGTTGAGGTTATGATATTGGCTTGGCGGCAATTGTGGGTGAATAATTACCAGGGACGGCATTTAATAGAATTACTGGGAAAGTTTGAGGAGATTGGCATTACTCAAACACATTTTGCCGGCCAAAAACTGTAATCTTTAACCAAAAATAAGGCTGCAAGGAAGAAAAAGCTGTAGCCTTTTGTAGATGCACGTTCAAGAAGGAAATAATCGCAGAACCTATAATAGAAAGTTGGTTGTTTTTGTTATACTTCAAGCCTGTTTTGCTTCTTCTACTATTTTCAATCAGCTTAAATCCAGTCCAGATTAACCTAGAGTCAGCTACTCTGATCCTAACTCTCTACCTTCGTATTGCTTTCACCTTTTCCACCTAATTCCTCATTGTTAAACTTTATTCCTCTTTTGGAAAACGATTAACATAAAACCAACTCCAACTTCTTTGCCATCGTCATGCAGCCTTTTCTAAATGCTCGTTCGAGAAGGAAATATTCACAGAACCTTATAAAAAGTTGGTTGCTTTTGTTATACTTCAAGCCTGTTTTGCTTCTTCTACTATTTTTTATCCAGCTTTATTCCAGTCCCGATGATCCTAGAGTCAGCTGCTCTGATCCTAACTCTCTACCTTCGTATTGCTTTCGCCTTTTCCACCTAATTCCTCATTGTTAAACTTTATTCCTCTTTTGGAAAACGATTAACATAAAACCAACTCCAACTTCTTCCCCATCGTCATGCAGCCTTTTCTAAATGCTCGTTCGAGAAGGAAATATTCACAGAACCTTTATAAAAAGTTGGTTGCTTTTGTTATACTTCAAGCCTGTTTTGCTTCTTCTACTATTTTTTATCCAGCTTTATTCCAGTCCCGATGATCCTAGAGTCAGCTGCTCTGATCCTAACTCTCTACCTTCGTAATGCTTTCACCTTTTCCATCTAATTCCTCATTGTTAGACTTTATTCCTATTTTGGAAACGTTTAACATAAAACCAACCAAAATTTCTTTGCAATCGTCATGCAGCCTTTTCTAAATGCTCGTTCGAGAAGGAAAAATTCACAGAACCTTTATAAAAAGTTGGTTGCTTTTGTTATACTTCAAGCCTGTTTTGCTTCTTCTACTATTTTTTACCCAGCTTTATTCCAGTCCCGATGATCCTAGAGTCAGCTGCTCTGATCCTAACTCTCTACCTTCGTAATGCTTTCACCTTTTCCATCTAATTCCTCATTGTTAGACTTTATTCCTATTTTGGAAACGTTTAACATAAAACCAACCAAAATTTCTTTGCAATCGTCATGCAGCCTTTTCTAAATGCTCGTTCGAGAAGGAAAAATTCACAGAACCTTTATAAAAAGTTGGTTGCTTTTGTTATACTTCAAGCCTGTTTTGCTTCTTCTACTATTTTTTACCCAGCTTAAATCCAGTCCAGATTAACCTAGAGTCAGCTACTCTGATTCTAACTCTCCACCTTCGTATTGCTTTCACCTTTTCCACCTAATTCCTCATTGTTAAACTTTATTCCTCTTTTGGAAAACGATTAACATAAAACCAACTCCAACTTCTTCCCCATCGTCATGCAGCCTTTTCTAAATGCTCGTTCGAGAAGGAAAAATTCACAGAACCTTTATAAAAAGTTGGTTGCTTTTGCTAAACTTCAAGCCTGCTTTGCTTTTTCTACTATTTTTACCCAGCTTAAATCCAGTCCAGCTAATCCTAGAGTCAGCTACTCTGATTCTAAATCTCCGCCTTTGTAGTGCTTCCGCCTTTTCCATCTAATTCCTCATTGTTGGATTGTTATTCTTATTTAGGCATTTGAAAATTTATTATAAACCAACTCCAACTCATATCCTATCGTCAAAAATCACCGTTTTGTCAGAAAATTCTCAAACATGAACTGTGGGCAAAAATGAGAGGTGAAACGTACCTTTTAGTGAAACAAATTACTGCACCTAAGTACTTTCTGTTTTGTCGAGGGACAATTCACTCTTATAGAGGAAGTTATAAATTTCCACAAAAGCCAAAAAGACTTCTCCGGATTTGCCGATTTCTCCCAAAGATCTACGAAAGTTTTTATAGAGTGATTTGCTACTCGGATTTTTTCAGTTAAAATCCGAATCTTCAAAGACCAAATTTTGTTATGGAAATTAAAATGCAAACCCTCTGGACGTCTATAAATACTAAAGCATTTTTAAGAAAACTTAAGCCACCCCTTTCTCCCTTGATTAAAGGATTAAAAAGTGCATTGTTTCCAGTTATTATAACAAGAAACAAGAAAAAAAAGTTAGGACTTGCATTGAAATTTCAATGTCACTCATTCCCTTGAAGAATACTTTGAATGCAACTTTTAAAGCACAAATGATAGAATTTCTAATCCATCATTGATTTGGGGGGGGGGGGAGATAAGAAAATTGCAGAAATTCCATTTTTCTTCAACGAATTTGTCGGGGATTGTAGACAGAACAGGCTGCTATTGACCATTGGAAAAATATAGTATTAGGGTTAGGGTCTAGTATATTTATTTCTCTATGATTTGTTCCTATGTCCCATGACTGCTTTGCACCATCATCCTCAACAATACTTTATCTTAGTGACACCAAAAACTTTTTAGGGTAATCTTTGTTTCTTTAAAAATCTTTAGTAGCTACAGCCCTGCATAACAGTATCATAAACTGTGACACGCTTCTATTTTATTAAAAGGAGTCAAACAAATTTTGTCGGAAAATATTTCTTTCTGGCCCCCTCTAGAATACATTCGCCACGGCGCCCCTGCGTCTTTGCAATGTGGTTTAATTTAAAAAGGGGAATTTTCTATCTTTTCAAAAGATCTGAGATATTTTAGAAGAGAAATTCTCCTTGTGAGGAAAATACCTTTGCAAATAATCTTTTGATGGTACAGGACTTAAAAATGGTTTTGAAAAAAGCAAAATACCTTTGCTACTAATGGTCGAAAAGATGATTTGAAATGTATAGACCTGTCGCTTGAACACTGTAATGCGTTTAAGAAGTTGTTTCTCAGCTCTTTCTATGCCATTTCAAAATTGAAGTTAAACAGTGAAAACATCCATTCGTTTGATCAATATTGCGAAGAAATTTTGTTGAGACTTTCTATCATCAAAAAGTGATGATTCCCTCAAGAAAACATTTCCCTCTTCTAGGACACTCCCCTAAATGTCGCCAACTTTTGAAATTTAATGGCTATCTGTATATCATTTGCGAACAAGGAAGAAAATCCGAGGGGCAAATCACTCCATCTAAGTCTCGTACACCTTTGGTGGAAATCCTATTGCTCTTCTAGAAATCTCGTATGCTATCAAGAGTGAATGGTATACAGCCAATCAAGGAGGCTCCTGACTATTGCAAGCCAATTTAAAGGCCCTTGACAGTTACGAGCTACACTTTTTTTATAAGAACACGAGTCTCAAAATTGGTCAAAAGTTAAAAACAAATTAAGAACAAGCTGAGGCTGAGCTTCTGCAAAATGCAATTTTGAACAACGATTTTTCTCAAAATCGACGATTTTAAGCGATGTGTGGGTGATTTTTCGGTGAATATTCAAATTTGTCAGCAAATTAAGGCTTTCTCACTCACTTTGTTGGCAAATGAGGCCTGATTACTACCCTAGAGCTGAAAAGCTAGCACTCGCACAACTTACACCCTATTAGATTGAGAAAAAATTAAGAACAATCCAGCCTCAGATTTTCGAAAAAGTTAAGAACAGTCAGCCTGAACTTAAATTTACTGGCTCTTATAAAAAAGGCGTGTAATTGAATTAAGGGTACCACAGGATACTAAGGAACTGAAAATCGTAGACATATTGGTGTCATGGCAGTTTTTCCGATGTTCGTGTTCCCTTGTAACAGTTTTAAAGCCAAACGGACAATAGCTCTAGGCAAATGCCTACACAAAAGGAAAATACATATTTTGGATGAAATTTTTTGAAAAATACAACTGAGAGAGGAAAATCGATACAGTTTCGGTGGTAACCTGTATGACAGAGCCTGTAAATAGGTACTGAGGTTAAGCTTATATTGATATCTAAACAAGATTCAAATTCATGTAATTCAGCAACATACTTGCAATTTATCTAATGTTAAAGGTAATGTGTTCAGCTAAAGCAAGCAACTCTGCGGGGGTTTTTAGAAACAGGTGATTTTTCATGTCATCGTCCTAGTCATTACAGTCGTTCTGTTTATCGACCCTGCTGCGAGGTTAGCTTTTCATGTGAGCAGTTTTGCATCGCAAGAATACTGGCCAATCGCAAACCGTTATTTTGATGTTACTTGACATGTTGGGTATACGCAGTCCTTTTATATGGACACATTACCTTTAGGTAATGATACGATAATGACAGGTAGAAATTTGAAGATTGATCCATACAATATTCTGTAATAAAATATATACTAAGTTTTTTACTTCAGGCCGTTGTCACCCCTGCATCCATGATATAGAAAACCTATCATGTTGGTTTGATATTTTGCTACTTTCCAGAGCTGTTCGTGATCCACACCCTTGACAATCTTTTGCCAATCTGCAGAGGGTGTTAATAAGTGGGTGTTAATATAAAGCGGTGCTGTGATTTCCCTTGTTAAGTTTATGTTAAGAGAGTACAACATTAATGGCGACAAGTGTGAAATTTTTAGCTCGAAAAGTATTGTGTTCCATTTGTAATTCATAATGTGTGATAACATCACGCTACGATGAAACCGCATGATTTGAAATAGGGCACCGCGGAGCTAAGGGGCGGCTTTACCAAAAAGTGCCAAATATCAAGAAATTAACTACCAGTAAATCTTTTCTTTATACGGTTTTAGCCCCCATCACCTTTTAGACCCCCCACTTTTCTCAACGCATTGCGATGATGTTACACTTTTGCATAGGTTACTAAAACACATATTACACCGGCCTTGGAGTCAATATGTCTCGCTTTGCTTCGCTCGAAAATAATTTAAGAATAATCGTGGGCTCAAAATTATTAATATAAGATAATTAAGATTCAGCCAAAAAGGGTTTCTTATAAAAAAAAGTGTGTATAAAGAACAAATTACAAACAATCCAGCCTCAAATTTTGGAAAAATGAAGAACATACCGGCCTGAAACTGAATTTAATGGCTTTAATAGAAAGACTGCACGCGTAGAAATGTTACTACATTTTCATACAGTATAACGAAGCCCTTGCCGCCCAGTGAGGTAAATTTTCAGCCCACAAGGCGGCAGAAGCTCTTTAATACTGGCAAGGAAAAACTGCGCATGGTTAATATTCTAAAAAATCTATGATGACCCCTGTCAAGAAATACTAATCTTCAAAGTCCCATCTGGAGTAGAATGATATTATAGTTTGACATTTTGCTAGCAAATGCCCATTTTCTTAGCTTCAGCAGACCTTAAACACATTTAATCGCTTACCCAGGCACGTAAATAATAGGGGGGCGTGGGGGGCGTGGGGGGCGTGACGCCCCCCCAAAGTTTGGAAAATCCAGTTACAGTTGGAAAACATAACGGTTGACTTGGAATTTTTTCTTAGGACCAAACTTGTGAATTTTATATTTTAAGAAGTTTTTTTATTTTAAATGTAAACATTCTAAACATTAAAATTCACAGGCTGAAGCTGCCCGTCTCCACTGGATCCAAATTGCACAATTGCCCTGTTTGCTTTCTTTCTGACGGGAGTTGAATCAAATTACGAACTGGCAAGGTGAATTTCCGGATAAGAAACTTGAAACTTTACAGTTTGGAATAATAATTCCCGTATTGATCAGAAAGGATTAGAGTGGGAGTTTTTTAAGAAACTACGAGTAGTTAATTCAATAAAAGATTAATGATCTTTCAGTACTAAAAATTCTCAACGCTTCTTATAAAAACGAGTTTATGCTAAACTCCCCCTGTTATTTGTTAACGCCCTTGACTCCTTATCATAAATTCCTATGACAAAACTGCTGTGAAGCAAGAACACATTGCAAAATTGCAGTAGAAGTATTTGATCAAAGAAGAGTGTTTCATCTTTCGGATCAGGCATATGCACAAGTTTGTTCTCAAATCATCATTTCAATTGTAATGAATGAAAAGGCATTTGGCCCTCTGAAAATTGTTAGTAGTTTTCTTCGATCAAGAACAAAAATTAAAGGCTCAAGTTCTTGGTGCTTCTATATCGTGAAAAAATGTATTTTAGATAAGCATGATCTGCGCCAATTGATTAATTGATCTGAAAGAATACTTCTAATCATTAAGTATATCTAATACTGGTTTTGCTTAAATGTCTTTACTTCTTACTGTAAGTTAAAATGTCTGTTTCATGTTGATCAAAATTTAGAGATTTAGGCTTTTATGCTTTAGGCTAATTATTGAGTAAAGTTTTGGTAATTATAAAGAAAACAGAACTATGGTGTTCGGGCTATTTACAAATATCAATTTAGTAGGTACAGTAGATTTACTGGTCAAATGAAAAATTTCTTACTTAGATTGGAATTTTCATCCTTCCACGCCCCCCCAAAATTAGCAACTTGTTTTCGTCCCTGCGCTTACCAAACTCATTATCATAGCACAGATGGTGAATCTAAAATCTAGCCTGATGGGAACAATACTTTAAAGACTTTAGAGAAAAATTCGAAAGACTATTTCGTTACTTGCCATAGTCCGTTTTCTTGTGTCTGACTCCTTGAACTGAGCCATCGCAAAGCACTTCAAGAAACAGGCCATTCTCACATTGAATGCGACGAATCCTATTGGACTTGGCGTGCGCTTTCGTAATCTCGAAAGGCATCTTGTCACAACTGGGAAGGTCCACTGTGAATGCCTTGGAAAAAGAAAGGCAAACCTCAAAAGACATTCTACGTCTGATTCAATTGAAAACTGGTCAATTCCTTTGACCGTTCTCGATCTGCAAATGATGAAATACATCCATCAAATGAACGGGGGCTTCCTATCTTATGATCCATGTCGTCACCCTTTGATTACTGCACAGTGGAAAAAGGAAACACGTACCAAGCCCAATTTGACCTTGTGGAAACATTGGCTAAATGTGCGTCTTTGTTGATTTTGTCTGATTGAACAGTTTCCCACAAAAAAGAATGCTCATAATTCAGGGTGGTTATATGTCAGGGTGCAGAGTTAATGGGCTTAAAGGTTTCGAAAGCCCGATTTACACGAGACGAATTTTTTCTTGCGAAGCGAATTTTTCGCCGCGAGTGCGCAGAAGTAGAGATTAGAAAATTGCCAGCGAATTCGCAGCAGTGGCCGAGCCACGGGGTCCGCCACTTTCAGAAAAATGGTCCTTGAGATTCTTGCAAACCCGAGGAGAGGGGTATGTACGTCACATGTAAATGTCACAGTCACATGTAAATGACATTTCTTGGGAGACAACAGGTGTATCCTCCGGAACAAAAAGTTTCAAACAGGGAAAAGGGCATGGTCCAAAAAGGCGCTGTCCCTGACACACTTTTTGTCCCCCCCCCCCCACTTATCCCAGGCTGGAGCCGCCACTGATTCGCAGCGGAAAAGTAGAAATCATTCTTACTTTTTCGCTGCGAATTTTTTCGCCTTGTAAAATAAACCAATCAAAACAGCTTTTGAAGCATCTAACTTCTGTTTTGGTTTAAGATGGCCTACGTCTTTCCGCATTCTTTTTCTCAAACACTCTCGCCTTTAAAACGTCAATAAAATAGGTTGGTAATTATTAATTTCCTGTTCCTCGTACACAATCCATGTAAGTGGATTCATAGCAGATTATTATTCAAACATTTGAAGTTCAAATTGACCAAAACTGGCTTGAAAGTTTCATCGTTCTACCAATATGTCAGAAATAAAAAAAAAATGGGCAAGAATTTTTTCAAATTGCTGAATTGTTGGCCTGCTCAACAGCAACAGTTTTAAGCAGATGCACTAACAGGATCTCGCATGCTCTTGCAAGCTTCGATGGCGACCTTTGAAAGTATTTGAAGAAGTTATCCTGGTCTTATAAATGTAAACGTAAATCTCTCTTACCGAAAGATGGAATTCCCCCTTCTGAAGACGTCCTGAATAAATTTTTCTAATCCAGTATCGCTTTTTTGCTGTTTTGCTCGCTTTTTTGATAAATTTAGAATTTAAACCTATCTGATTAAACTCTTCGGACAGTCGCTATATTCTTTTGTAATGCTCGCAGCGAATTCGCATAAAAATTTCTGCCAGTGTAAATTGAACTTTGAATTCGAGAGAAAAATTCGCAGCTAAAAAAGTTGTGGCGAAAAATTCGCTTCGCGCGAAAAATTCATTACAGCTGTTTCAAGGTCGATTTTTGCTTCAAATTCTGTCACAAGGGATTGGGTCGAGTTTGACAGGAAGTGACGTAAAGTGAAAGTTTAGATTGTTAGTGAAAATTTAGATTGCTAACTAACAAGAAATTATACGGCGGAGTTTACTTGCGAGTTTGTAAACATGTCTCAAGGCAAATATTCAAGCTCGAGGGCGTCAGCTTTTGACGAAAGTGAAGGGGAATAGCTTTTAGTTGCTGCTGATGGGCTATTTTTGCCTTGCAAGAACGAACCAGTCTTTTTCCTGTGGATAATTCAGACGCGGAACCAGGCGAAGCTGGCATGGCTCGAAGCTTTCATGACCGGGCAGAGGACGAAGATGGAATACAATAATCCCAACTGCGTGATCGATGGCGAGGAATTATTACTTTGAGTCAATGGTGAGTGAAATAAATTGTCATTATGTTTAAAAATGTCATTATGTGTTATAAATTCAGTATTCCCTGTACATCTCTGCTGTTTTTTGGCCACCATTCCCTGATCATAGCGGCCTAGCCTATTGCGTTGTATGGGCGATGAAAAGAAGTTAATCTGTCTAGAAATACAAATTCTGTTTGGCACCTTCAATTCTTAGAATTAGTAAATTTAATATTTTATTTTCATTAAATCTGGCAGAAAAGAGTATACCATATACATATAATATATATATGCAATGTTATGATCCTGCCGATTCTAAAGAATGTAAGAGAAACTCAAATCAGCCATTATATTAAGTCATCCAATGTTTTTGTTCAATAGGTATCTCTGTGCAATGGCATACAGTCTTGGTGTCGGTCAGAGACAAACGTAGATACTTCAATTCCAGAACCTCTGAGAGATTCAAAACCTTGTTGATGCCAAAGCAACTTCATCTGTGCAGAGCTTCTGTTTACACTCTGCTTGCCTGTGAAGAAAGAGGAACACTAATTTCAATATTTACATTTAACGACAAACATGATCCAAGATTAAATTTTTGGTCTTTGACCAAGGCTGACCAGGTCAAAGACCACTATTTCTGTTATACAGAAACGACTGAGTCCGTGATTTAATTGAAAGTTTTTATATCATTTTTTGTTACTTGATGACTTATGTTTATTGTTAATCGATTCTCAATTGCATTTTGAATCTTTATCCCATAGAATATCATTTCCCTGCTTGTTAAATATTTCTTGAGTTTCCAACCCCCTGCTTTTTGAGTTTCCAAAACCTTTTTCGCTTTTGTTTAAAATATTAAAGTAGTTTACATTTGTTTAAATAGTTTAAGAAAATAACTGCAAAATTGAATATTTGGGTTATTTTTATGTATTAAAAACGGTGATATGGACCCCAAACAGAGAGACAAGGAGTCCCTTTTTTCCATAAAGGGAGTGCCTGTTAGGCAGTTATAAAAAACAATAAGAATCATATTACTCACCATGTTTTTTTCATTCTTGCTTAGTTCTTTGTCTTGTTTTGGTTTGCGAACTGAAGGTAGAGCATCATGTCGAAAAAATGTTTTGGTGTTTTCGGTGTCAAAGCCAGGAGGAGAGGGAAATGTACGGGAAAAATCAGTCGGAAAAAGGTGCTCTTGAATAAGATGATGGCTAGATGTCTTTACGCTGCATTTTTAATAAGTAATACCAAGCGGCGAACTTCTGTTGGGGCAGGTTTTCCAGGATGGCTGTGAAGCACAACGGTATCTTCCTCAAGGGGGTATTCGTTCCCTAAAGTCATGCACAATGGTTTATTACCGTAACGCACTTACCTGTTTTATAGTAAAAGTTTTCTAATTTTGTTCTTGAACATCATGTTTATTTTTTAAAAGCTTTTCTTGAAAACTAACTTGGGTTGGCCATATGATAATATTGTGAGTTGCGAAATTATGACCGGCTCACTTTATTTCAATTTTTATCAATTTTAAAATGAACCAAAGAAATTTTCTTAATTACTTTCCGACATTTTTTTCTTTATTAATTACTTTGATGGCATTGCTTGAGTTATCTAAATAAACCTTATTACAATTGTGGAGGAAAAAAATCTTTAGGGGGACAACAGTAGTGCCCGCACATAATGAAACCATACAGAAGCCAGCATAGCGGTCAAATCTTTGATTGGCTGAGAGCCCTGATCATTATTATTTTCTCCCAACCAAATAAGCCAATCAGCACACAGGATTCTCATAACAAGATCACTTCGCAACTAGAATTAGGCCCATTTTCGCCGTTTCAGCGTGTTTTTACCACATTGTCTGCAACAAACATTGCACGCCTCTACAAAGCGAATTTCCGCCTGATTTTTTGTCCAGTTTATCATCATGCGTTGCTATTTAACCTTTATTGGCGCCACTGTGCGATCGCAAAGAATAATATAAAAAAAACACCTCGCAAATGATCGCTAAATTTCGTGTCGAGATTCAGGTGAATTATGTTTTTACCTTTTCCCCGACCCAAGCACTTTACATATTTCACATTTAGTCAAAATCAAATATATACTGACCTTAAATCTAGGAATGGTTCATAATCCCGTCATAGATGCACTCACTGTTCAGCCTTAGATTCGGCGGTGATCGCCTATGTAATTATCACAACGGCACCAAGGCTTTCATATTCACCCTCGAACTCAATAAATGTATGTGTCCTCTGGAATCAAAATTTTTTATAAAACTGATAAATTTCCAGCAACAGCCCAAGTAATTTCAATCATGATTGTCCAAAAAGAATTGACCATTATTACCAATTTTATGTGATGGAAATGGCAAATACACTTACGCGGTAAGACTGGGATCTAATGAAATTTGAAAACAGCGGGAAAATTTCCAGGTTGCGTATTCGTCAATTTTTTTTGAAAACACAAAACATTTTTTCAAAGAATTCCAAATAATGCCTCACAGAAAAAAGAAAACCTGTTCAAACTTGCTGCACTATATTTGGAGAAGTTTTTCTACAATTCTACTTAATCTCAATGATAGACTTGGGCCTGCTAATGTATTCTCAAAAGCGTTTTCACAAAACAGAGCAAAACACGGATTAGTTTGCAGTGATTGCTTGTTGAAATGTCTCTCCAGACGCGAATTTACAGCAAAGCTACCACAGAATTTTCAGCATTTACCCTCGTTTAAAAAGGTGAGCACAAATAACTTTTCAATTTTATAATAAACCTTATTTCAGGAGGAATGTCGGAAGCAAATTGGTTTAAATAACACTTTTAATTACGTTTTTTGCTCATTTTTCTATTATGTTAAGAAAATATAAGCATCTCATTAAACATAAATATAAAAGAAATTTTAAAACCTATCATCGTTCTGTGGGTGGCGAAATATAAATTTAAGAATAAAACTGCCTCATTAAACATTTCTTCAGATTCCAAACCCCCTTTTCCTTTAGTAAATATGTTACATTTCACTAGTTAGCAATATATATATTCATTTACCTACTTCTATATTTTGCCCTAGCTTCAGGAGTTACAAACTGATTATGCAGCTTCAAGCGAAAGTGAACACATTTACAGCCAAGAACTGAGCTCACAAAATTCACCAATAAGTTTACTAGACAGGCCTGAAGTCATTGAAGAAGAGAAGAAACTTATGTTTGAGGAACAGGAAATTGATGGAGAGGTATACTCTCTTGTGCCAAGACATCTTAGTTGAGTATGTACCAGCAAGCTCTGTTGATTTCCAATATATTGACGGAATTGGTTCATTAGAAATAGCCGATAACTTTACAAACATTCCAACCAGTATTCTTCCAAAATTCATTTCTATTATCAATAACAGATTTGATTTTACAAGAGGAAGTAGCCAAATGCCGCAGTTTTATCTTTTCCAAATTTGGGTCGGACAGTATGCCTCCCTTTGATCCAGAATCAATGAAGATCATTTGCCAGGCTGCTGGCGCAAATAACCTTTTTCAAACTCTTATGTCTGCAATGTCAACAGTTGGCCAGTCACAAAACAAAAAAGTCTTAATGAGAAAAAATGTGTTGCCATTATTAATATGCTGATGTACGGGCAATCACAAAAGGCAAGCTGGTTCCAAAAGGCACTATCAAATCAGGTTGTAGGAACTGGATTAAGTGTACAAACAAAGCTCTACATAGATGCCGTTCTTCGAATTTCGGTCATGTTATTTTGCTACAGAAGACACCACTACAACAAAGCTCCATTGGTCTGGTTGAGTAACTTCCTCTTCTGGGAAAAGCAACAACATCCTCTTTTTGATATCCTCATGCAGCACCTGAATGCATTTGATGAGTATCCAGTCGAGAATTTCCACTCAATCTTGCGCAGCCAAACTAGAGAGAGTGACAGTGGTGATGCACTTCAACAAAAGGCAAGGGCAGTTGATGAAATGGAAAGAACACGCTGAAATGGCGAAAATGGGCCTAATTCTAGCTACGAAGTGATCTTGTTGTGAGAATCCTGTGTGCTGATTGGCTTATTTGGTTGGGAGAAAATAATCTCAGCCAATCAAAGATTTGACCGCTATGCTACAGAAGCCTTGTTCTATTCAACGGATACACTTTTCATCACAGGGGTCAAGTGACCACAGATTCGATCGCGTGTTGGGACAGATTTTAGCTCGAGTGGGTGTTGGAAAACCCCGTTTTTTGGGGGAAAGAAAGTCGCAAATGTTCGTGTCATATGCACTTTAAGTCCGCACCAATATTCTTGCTTACTTTGAAAAGAAATACAATTTTTTGTTTCTGGCAAATAACCCGATTGCAATTGATTTTGCTTTCAACGATGAAGGGGCAATGGGCTTAAACTGGTATGTGTCCGCCCATCTTGGCGAGAGGCAACAATTTTATCCACTACACCACAGGAAAAGATGAGACGCTGTGAAACAAATTGTTAAGATATTTCAATGTGAAATTTTATAATGGAATGAAGATTTCTCATGAAAAAATTCCTTTATAAACATATTACTGCTGTATGGAATTTTCTAGTTTTGGGTTTAATGATAATCAACATTCAAGAAACTAAAAATATTCATCCGGCATAAACGTGGTTTTTTGTATACTGGCCACATTGTTTGGAAAGATAATCAACAATCCATTAGAGATATAGAGATATCGATTCCATCGTACGATTAAAAAACAAGAACTAGGGACCTGTTGTTATGGATAAAATAGCTGAGATTCCACTCTGTTAAAGACTCCTTTGTGTTGTTCGTCAATGCGTATATATGGAAAAAGCCAGCCCGGTTAAGTGAAATCCCACTGCATGAGAGGTGGAATCTCAATGAGGTGAGATGAATTTTTTCCATATAAACGCTGGAAGGTGGGATGAAACTGGAAGATTGGATAAAATCAAATTCCGTCCCACTTCTCAGCACGCAGGCACGCAGGTGGGATGATTTTCTCCATATACAGCTGGAAGGTGGGATAGAATTAGCAAGTAAACATTCAATGATTCCATCCAACCTGCCAGATGATGGGCTGAGAGATGGGATAAATTTGCTCATATAAACAGGCCCTTAGATTGCACCTTTTGAGCAAACAAAAATCAGCTCCGCACGAATCTATGAAAGATCAGGCAATTAATATTTTTTATCTCTAAGTAGCCTTAACAAGTTTTTACTGTAATGTAGTTTTTTTTGTATATCATAACTTACAGCACAGTCATAATAGTACCTGTCCTAAATGTACCCTAAATCTTACAAAGTGAGTTAGCATAGTGACGCGACAAGAGCTTTGCAATCCTCTTGGACTATACTGGTTGCTTCCTTCCACTGTTTAACCTTGCACTGCCTGATTCTCTAATCTCCTATCATACTAACTAACTACATTAATACAGGGGTGGGTGAGGGGGGTGTGACCCCCCAAGAATTATAAATTGATTCTTTCCTCGGCAGATTTCGCATCACTACGCAAATTTGGTGGTAGCATGAATTAAAAATGAATGATAGTCGATGTCATATTTAAGTGTTTTTATTTTCATTTCGATTAGATCCTCTGTGGACGTCACCTTCGCTCCACGGCATGTCAATATTTCAAATGTTAATTGGAAAGCTGAAACCAGTGAGAACCAACTGCACAATACAATGTTTCACGGTTGGGTGCACGAATGACGAGAATTATTACCAGCAAATCGATTAAAACAGTAAAATAGCATTCTGCCTATGGATATTAATTCTAAGAGTTAGGTTGATTTGTAAGATGGTAAAATTGCTTTATTAAAGCCAGCGAAATGTATTTGAAAATGGAAGGGCCAAATATGAAAGTCCTGAAAGGGCTTAGGTTAGGCCGCCACCATGGTTGGCGGCAAGAAAAATTTTCGGATTATTGTATTTTAGGGATGGCCAGAGACTGTATCTAAAATGGATTTTGACTGAAGGAAAATTCAAGGCAATATATTTAAGCTTTGTTTAATCAATATGTACAAGTTCAACAAAAACAGAAGAACTATCAACTAAAATAAAAGCAAATTAAGCAATTTGGGATATTGTTTTGTAACATCTGATCTTAAATATTTCGGAAAAAAGGTGCTTTTAACAAAAATCAAAAATAGTTTTAATAGAATTTACAAATGCGTCTAGATTTTCTTTCTTTGCAGGAATGGATTATCGATACAATCAAATTTTGAAGTTTTCTTGATGTTGCTTTTTTAGAACAAATCTGGCCATTCTTTTTTTCTTATGTCCTCAAAATTTTTCTTTTCGTTAGTTTCTTTCCCTTCCACATCGCTAGCGATTTCTCTCTATTTGTAATGTTCCTGAGAACTTTGTTGTTAACAAATAGACCTTGTGAGCCAAGATTAGGCAATAACGAAACTCCGTCAATTTGTGCTGGCACCAAGTTATTCTGGATCAGGTTTCTCGATCTATTTCCTAAGCCAAGCTGTTACTCGTTGTACAACTTAGACAATGACCGATTTCTTCAATCATATTCCCATATTCAAATTTATATATGTCTTCTATGGTAAAGACATAGCAACCAAGCTAAAGCTAACGGCATGTGTAAGGGATCACTAAACACAGTTACTTACAGCATGATATACTAATTCATTTCAACCTTTGCCTATAATTTTCCTTTAGATCTGCAGAAAAGTGGAGGAGGGGGGGGGGGAGTGGATCGTACATTAGTGCATTTTCAGAGTACGATCCACTTTTCAGGACTGGACTTGAGTGTCTGTGTCTATTTACGAGCCGACCTTTATTCAAAATTTTAAATTTCTATTTACACAAACAGTAGAAAACTTTCCAAGAATCACAAGCTCGTTAGTTAGTAAACGGGGGAAAAGGTCCATTCCATTTTCAATTGATCAAAGTGTGCCTTCATTTTCATTAATTGAAAAATCTCCTATTCGGCAACCTGACACCCCCCTAAGAAATTTTGTTAACACCGCCCCTGCATTTAAACATAACTGTTTCGCTATTCCTTCCTGTCAATCTTTGTTCAAACTCAGCCGGGTTGTTAAAGTGTGGAACTCTCTACAAAGTCCAAAAAAATGTTGTCTCCTTTCACAGTTGAGGATCTTACTTCCTGCTCAAAATACAACGTTTGAAACATCATCGGCATTTAAGGTTGTGCGTTCTCTTCTCTGTTCAAAGGGAAGGTTCAAAGTTATTTTATTGTTTCTCGAGAAATTTCAGACTCTTATCCTTTCTTCGTGATTTTGTCATATTCAATACGACACTCATATCTCCGTGGCCTTATCCTACTCCTGACACCAATGTAAAATGGAGCTGCTGTTCTCACTTTACAGACTAAGATATCGATCGGTCGGTCGGTCGGTCGGTCGGTCGGTCGGTCGGTCGGTCGGTCGGTCGGTCGGTCGGTCGGTCGGTCGGTCGGTCGGTCGTTCGTTCGTTCGTTCGTTCGTTCGTTCGGTCGGTCAGTTGGTCGGTCATTTTTGGCAACAACAAAAACAACACCGGGAGGAGTTATGCAATGATGAAGATAACTGACATTTTAAAACAGCCAAGAACCCCCAATTTCACTACAGCTATGTGCCATTTCCGACACAGCACAACAGAACGGTGGAGAGATTATTGAAAACTTGTTAACTTGTTCCAAGATTATTTGGGGCCAATTCGATACCAGATTCAGAGAAAGGTCAAATTTTCCTTACGTTAAGCTGTACACAAGTGACTAACAAGTATGGCGTTGCAACTCGCCCCAAGTACAGAAATGAATTAACTGTATGTTTATTAAATCGTTAAAGCATGTGTCAAGTTTTGGAATAATATCTATGACAAACCTGGCAAAAGTTTTTATGAATTAGTTGTCAAAATGACTAAGTTCGCTGGAATAATCTAATTGAAAATGTTGCACATTTAATTCCAACAGAGCAACAAGAAAAAAATTAATAATTTACTAGAGCGTGATAATTCCCCAGGTGATAATAGGCGTATTAAAGAACCAGCCTTTGCTACTTTTGATAGACTGACGATTCGGACAAGCAAGAACTTTGTATTTGCGATGGCTGTCAACATCACGATATACTCATGCCAGCAAAGTGAAACTGGTAACTTCGTGGTCGCTTTGGTGTTCCTTGCGATACCTTTTCACGTAATGATACTGTTCACACTGGCAAGAGATGCCCAGCTTTGTTTGCCACGACACAAAATACTGCTCTGTCTTTCGATATCCCATGGGTTAATGATTACAGTTACTTTTACCTGCATAGCAATAATGAAACTTTTTGTCCTCACTACAAACGGTGGGACGTGTTTGGTTCTGCGGAAAATTGTTCAATTTAATGCTGCAGCAACTATGGTGGTATCGAGCCTTACCCTTATTACATTATCTGTCGAGCGCTATGTTGCATGTATCCACGGGCTTCGTCTTCACGACATATTTACAGACCAAAGAATCATCATCATTCTGTCTGGTACTTGGTTCATCGGCATTTCTTGCGGAATCTTCATTTCAGTTACTAGCAGAACGTCAGATTCAAAAAAGGCAATTCTTGGTGACAGTGATAATGTGAAAATTCTTGCCTCGGCAGTGGCACTTCCAACTTCTTTGCTGCTACTTGCGGTCCAGACACGTTTATTTCTGGTGAGTCGGGCAAAGATAAAGGCTTCGGAGCAAACAGAAAGCGCTTTTGTGCAAGTAGATCATAGGGACTCACGAAAAAGGCAAATGAAGGTGGCTATCGTTGCTGGTATGGTGGTGTTGTCTTACGCAATCTGTTCCATACCAGCTTCCTGTATGGTGATTGTTGACCAAATGTCGAACGGAACCAAATATCCTACGCTGAACAAAAGTGTCGTAGTTTTGTGGATGACAAATACGCTTCTGGACCCGTTTATATATGGCATTGGGATGCAAGATATGAGAAGTGCGCTTCGCAGACAGCTTAGAAAGATTCGTTTAGCAATGAGGTGCAACAATAGTGTAGCAGTAGAATGATTAAGTTCCATTGGTTAACATTTGTCACTCCAAGGGACATACAAGGGTTTTAGAAGGTGTTTTAGCAAATATTAATCTTTAAAATATATCAATTTGTATATTTCTTCGGTTTTATGGAAAGGCCATCGATGTGATCAGATTTTGTTTTCTAGTCAGCACCTGTTTCATTCTGAGTGCGTTGTTGCATGCAAGTATTTCTTGAAGCGTTAAAGTGTTGTCAATAATTCGAGTTTTGTTATTCGAAATCGAATCCGATAAACCTGACATCATAAGTAGACTTAACACCAAGGTGAAAATTGTTTCAGTATAACAGGCACACAAATGTAACAGGCTGTGTTAAGAGTTTTAGAAGATGCATATGCTAAGCAAAACAACAACTTATGTGTTAGCAGATATGAATCCTAAAAACAATATTGCTCCAAGCGTCCCTTTTCACAGAAAAGAAAATAGCTTGTCACAATTTCGAGAAAGACCAATCAGTTCTCCCATTCAATGTTTGTTAATATTCCGCTACGGCGCATGCGTTTTTCCCCCACATTTCCTTACGGCTATCTTCTTGTTTTTCCATATATTTCCTTACATTTTTGCATTTTTCACTACAATTCGTACAAAAATGTGTAAAAAATATTTGAAAAACAACGCATTAAGTGCTTATAATTTTGTTATAAATATTGAAACGTTTTTTATCACGGCTAAAAACGAAAACAGAATACAAAATTCTGTGCCGTCCACAGCAGAAATAGACATGACGTCACCTGGTTCTTGGTATGTATGGCACTTAACAATAAGCTCATAAAACAAACACTTTGTGAACCATAGCACCATTTCATTTGGCAGGCGAGTCATGGTTTTAGGGTATATTACAGGCATTAGATAGCAAGATAGGTAAGGGTAGCGGGGTGATGCGAGAAATCATACATTGGGTTATTGATGCTGATGACATGATTGACAAAAAGCTTACTAAAACCGAAACAAAATGAGAAAGAGAGTCTGGAGCAAAGCAATACGAGGACAAGAATCTAATGTGATATGATAATATTTTACTATAGCTTGATAAATTGAACGAGTACAGTACTCGTTACAAAAAATAAGAAAGTAAAATACTATTATTTAAATGTTAAGTATTACTACTTGGATAATACATTATTTTCAATGTTATTAAGTTCCTTCTGATTGCGAGGATGGATCAGTTGGGTGCGAGGCTGGCTCAGTTGTTAGAGGTGTTGACTGCAGACCCAAGGGCTCGTGGATCGAGTCACGAGAGTGGTCAAATCGAGAGAAAGGACCAGGACACTGCTCGATAAGCATAAGTTTCTCAGTGTCCTAAAAACTACCTTCGGAAGCTAGGTAGAGACAAAAAAAACAAGGAAAATACCTTTGTATATACGAATTTTTAGCATTTGCATGTAAATGAACATGATGCTTATCGATGTCAAAATTTTTGGTAAATTTTTCAGAAACTTTTTCTATTACCTCTAACGTATTCACAGCAAGACAATTTCTCAATTTTGTTTTGTTTATATCTATGTTTGAAAATTCTTTCTACTGCTGCCGTTCTTTGGGGGTACATAGCGCAGTTATGTTAAAGACGCATTGATAACCATAGAGATAGGATTATTAAAACACTAGAGCGATTAGGAGGCACCTAGAAAGTGTCCGCTTGTACGCCATCTTGTTAAAGGTAAACATGCGTGTAAAAGTGCTATCAAAATAACAAGGGGGGGGGGGGGGCTCTTGCCTAACATGTTGCGAAAAACAGAAGCAAAAGTAGAGATTTGCCAATTTTCGGCATCAACAAGGGGGCCCCCTCCCCCCTGAGCCTCCATAGCTCTACACCCCTGCCTGTAAAAAATAAAATCGCAAACATTTTTAAACGGTTTATCAAATGTCACATCTGTTTGAGTTTGAGTTTCATTCATTTTAAATTCCACTGCAAACAAGCAAGTGAAAATTCAAACTAAAACAAAAACAATGGTTGCATACAGGAAAACTTACATATAACTCAAATTTAAACGCATTTATACAAAATATTTATTGGTTTCAGCTTTGTTTTAACTTTACGGGGGTTTCTTTCTTCGGTTAGTTTCTTATTCAGCAAGAAAAAAATATCAGAGTCTTTTTACAATTGAAGTTTCGCTTTGAATCGCTGCTTTTTCTAATCATGAGTGAGCAATTTTATTCTGTTAAAAAGAAACCAAGAATTTAAAACTATTCCACCAAAAGCACCAAGAGCAAGAGAATAAACGATAAAAAAGATGAAAAAAGCTGCAGCACTAATATGCCTGAAAGCAAAGAAGAAGTTCAACAAGGTCCGGAAGAATCAACATATGTCGAACAAGGTGCCTTAGATATCACCTCATCAAAAAATAGGACAAAGAAGTCTCAAATCCCCTCCTGTTCTCAGGAAATTACTGGAAGAAGAAAAATCAGATGCCAAGTTTGTTTTAAACAGCATAACATCATTCAAATTCACAAAAAATCTGATCACGTGCCTCAAATCTGTAGCGAGGGTGCTTCAGAAATTAGGCAGAAATATATCGATAATCACCTGCAATCTACAATGCACCTTGAAGCAGTCAAAGCGGAAAAAAGCACCAGGTTAGAGAAAGGAGAACTTTTGCAAGGTCGCAACAGCTTAGAGGGATCCACCTCAAGAGAAAGTTCCGTGTAACCGTCTGTAATGATGGAAAGAGGGGATCTCTAAGTGCTTGGTCTTGGCCTTCGAGGGAGATTGCACATCAAAAAGCAATCGAATACAGTGCAAACGGGTATACAGGCAAATTTGAGCCAGCAGCAGGTAGTTTCAGATATCTTAATCCAATTCACCATGCGGACCTTGTAGAATGCATTGTTGAATCTGATCGCCTCACAATGAAAGATCGATTTGAGAGTGTTTTGGCTGTGTCGTAACGTACAGATGGCTCAGTTGATCGAATGTAGCAGCATAATTGTCATCTTATGGCCAAGATTGTTGATTTGAAAGAAACAGAGTCACTTCTTGTTGCAGAAAGCAAAGAGAGGGGTGCAGCAGGGACCTCAAAGCCATCAAAAAAGCATCAGAAAAGACAGTAAATTGGGATGCACTGCTCGAAAAATCATCTTCGATTGTCACTGATGGAGAGAACATGAATACTGACCAGCTAGAGGGCTTTGGAAACTGTGCCAAGACCAGAGACATGCATCTGGCTCAAAGTGGCAAAGCTTGATGGAAGTTGCAAAGCATATGAAACCAAGTAACATATTGGTAGTGCTAATTAAAAAGTTTTCATTTATTGAAAAATTCATCTTTTGAAGTGGCCGTTTGTAGTCACTTGCTTTTGGGGTACGTGAATATAATACGTCGAATGCCATATCAATAGCTCTTATAAACTTGACAGTCCCCTCACATCCTTTAAATTCAGGCTGCTTCAAATAAAAAAAAGAAACTCAATCGCATCTGCAACAGAAGAACTGAACGTTTGTGCTGCAACTCTTACATTCATCTTATGCATATGCCATTGTACATGATCAGAAGTTTGCTTGTTGCCAAATAGAACCCTTCTCTTTCTTGCATTTCATTTAGTTTCTCCAAATAAACCCATTTAATCTGTTTTTGTGCCATCATATGTAAATACAAACTCTTCCCAGTCAGCACTAAAAATCAATTGCAGAACCGCAAATTTAGGAAAAAGGTTTCACAAGTAAAACCTTATTGAAAATGTTAGATCATTGAAGTTGAAAATTTAGATTAGCATCTTAAAATTAGCATCTTCTATTTCATGAATCAATATTTTGAAATACACTACTACTCATCTCAATTTCTTCAAGACTGTTGCACTATGTTTCCTCTTTTTGTTTATGATTTTAACTATACTATCATTGATTCAAAGAAACCTGTTTGTATTATATTTGAGCGACCCTTCATGACCACCAAAATTATACTTACAGGGTGTTGCGAAGGAATTTAAACATGTGGCAAACATCAAATATGACATTAAAGACTTATTGCTAACAATGAGCCATTGCGCCACGTTAGCATCCCATAATGCATTTTCCGACAGTCTGAAATCAATTTTGGTTAATCCGTAGAAGTTTACTGCCATTGTTTGGATCGTCGCCACGCTCGCAAAGGCTCATTGTTAGCAATGACTCTTTAACTAAGTAACCACGAGTAGGATGTGGGAAAGATGAAACAATAGAATCCCATTCCATTCCAAATTTGCATCCAAGGTCCCTTGCAGCTTCTTGGTTAACAAAAGTCCCATCCCACACAACACTTAATCTCTTGGCATTGGCAAGTTTTTAAAATAATTATACGCATCATGTTCTGTTTTTTCTGTTGTTCTGCTTTTTCTGAAAGACATTCACATGTGTAACTTGCAACGAGATGAAATGAATGGCATAAGCATTTCAAAAGATGTGTATCACGAGCAGCACTTTTGATTCGTGTAAGCACAGAGTTGCTTTGTCTTTGCACAAGGTTCTCGCCGTCAGATGCATAGCCTAAGACTTTTCCTAATCGATGCCATATTTCTTAAAGCTGCTTCCAGTGAGTTGAAGAGACCATCTCAATCACCTTCTTAAACAGGTATCAAGCGATAAAGATATGTTGCTGGGCCCATTTCATCCAAAAGGCGAACATTGTCACAGAAGATTTTCCTCTTTGTTACATCTGTTGCCTTGTCACACAATATTGAAAATCCAGCTCCGTTCTTCATCATTTCAACCAAAGTTTCAAGAGCACTAACAGCAAGACATTCTGTCAACAAGTATTTCCCTTTAGTAGCACGGTGGGTGATACCATTAATTCCTTTTGAATCACAAGTGATGCAATGAAAAGTCCCCACCAGCAAGAAAGAAAGATTCTTTCTTGCTAATAAAGCCACTGTGTTGAGCTCAGCCTTTACTCTTGGATATATACAGGCAGAGATAAATGCTGTCACTGGTCGATTTTGTACCCACATTTTTTGCAAGCTGGATCCAGAGATTGACAAAACGAAGTAAATTCTTTTGGATAATGG